AAGAGCACCTAATCTATACAGCTAATTTTGACAGAACTGAAAGGAGAAATAGACAGCAACACCACAACAGAAGATTTCAATACCCTAATTTCAATAATGGATAGAAATCCACAAAGAAGGTCAATAAGGAAGCAGAGTACATGAACAACACTATAGACCAAATGGACTTAGCAACAGTACATTTCACTCAACAGCAGCAAAATACACATTCCAAGTACACACAAAACCTATTCCAGGATAGACCTCATCTCAAGTCACCAAAGAATTCTAAAAAAATTTTAAAAGACTGAAATTATGCTAATAATCTTTTCTAACCACAGTGGAATGAAATGGAATCAATAACAGAAAGAACACTGGAAAAGTCATAAATATGTGAAAACTAAACAACATATTCTTGAACAATCAATAGGTCAAAGGAATCAAAAAGGAAATAATAAATCAAAAAGGAATTAGAAAATATATTGAGACAAATGGGGAAAAAAAGCACAATACACTAAAACTTATGGGGTGAAGCAAAAGGAGGAGTAAGAGGAAATTTTATAGTGTTAGTCACATTAACAAAGAAGATTCCAAATAAACAACCTAACTACACCTCAAGGTACTAGAAAAAGAACAAAATAAGCCCAAAGTTAGCAGAAAGAATAATCAAGATTAGAGCAAAAATAAATGAAACAGAAAAGAACAATAAAACTAAGAGTTGGCTTTTTGAGAAGACCAACAAAATTGAGAAACCTTTAGCTATACTAACTATGAATAAAAGAGAGAAGACAAATAAATCAGACATAAAAGAGGAGACATTACAACCGATGCCACCAAAATAAAAAGTATCTAAGAGACTATTATGAATAATTATATACCAAAGAATTTGATAATTGAGAAAAAAATGGATAAATATCTAGATGTATAACCTACCAAGACTGAATCGTAAGTAAATAAAATATCTGAACAGATCTACAACTAGTAAAGAGATTGAATCGGTAATCGAAAACCATTCAACAAAGAAAAACACTGGGATCAGATGGGTTCACTAGTGAGGTCTACCAAACATTTACAGAAATAACATCAGTACTTCTCAAAGTTTTCCAAAAAAACTGAAGAGGGTGGAATGTTTCCAACCTAACTTTATAAGATCAGCATTATTCTAATATCAAAGCCAGAAGACACTATAAGGAAACTACGGACCAATGTTCCTGATGAATATAGATGCAAAAATCCTGAACAAAATACTAGCAAATCAAATTCAACAACACTTAAAAAGAATCATAATACCATGACTAAGCAGGGTTTATCCCTGGGATGCAAGTATAGTTCAACATACAAAAACTAATCAATGTAAAACACCACATTAACAGAACAAAGTTTTAAAAACACAAGGTGTCTCTTCTCCTAATGAAGGGGGAGAAACTGGAGTGGGAGAAGAACCATGAGAGACTACGCACTCCAGAAAACAAACGGGAGAGTTTTAGAAGGGAGTGGGGGTGGGGAGATAGGTAAGCCCAGTGACAGATATTAAGGAAGGCATGGATTACATGGAGGAGCACTGGATGTTATGGGTGTTATACGCAAACAGTGAAGCATGGAACACTACATCAAAAACTAATGACAGACTGTATGGTGGCTAACATAACAAATAAAAAAAATGCAAGGTATCTCCGTACACACAAAAATCATTTGACTAATTCAACACATTTTTATGATAAAAACACTAAAAAACTGCAAATAGCATGAAATTGCTTCACCATAAAAGTACCATATGTAAACAGTCCATAGCTGTCATCACACCCACAAGTGAAAACCTGAAAGGTTGTCCACTTCTGCCATTTCTATTCAACATAGTACTGAAAGACCTAGCCAAAACAATTAGGCTAGAAAAAGAAATGAGACACATTTAAATTAGAAAGAAAGAAGTAAAATTACCTCTGGATACTACGTAATCATATATGTAGAAAACTGTAAAGATTACACTAAAAATATCTATTAGAACCAATAAATTCAGTAAAGTTGGAGGATAAAAAATTAACATACAAAAATATGTTGCATTTTTACACACTGATAATGAACAATCCAAAAAGGAAATTAAGAAAGCAATCTCATTTATAATATCATCAATCAATCAATCAATCAATACTTAAGTACAAATTTAACCAAGGAAATGAAAGACATATACTGAAAACTATAAAATACTGCTGAAAAAAATTTAAGAGACACAAATTAATGGCAGAATGTCTCATGTTCATGAATTGGAAGACTTATTGGTAAAATGGCTATGCTATTCAACGCAATCTACAGATTGAATGCTATCTCTATTAAAATCCCAGTGGCATTTTTTAGGGACATAGAAAAAAGACTCCTGAAATTGGTATGGAACCAAAAAGGAACCAAAATATTCAAAACATCTTGAAAAGGAATGAAGATGACATCATGCTTTCTAGTTTCAAAACATATTATAAAGCTATGATAATCAAAATAGTATGGTCCTGGCATAAAGACAGACATGTAGAACAACTGAACAGAAGACAGAGCCCCCAAATAAACCCATGCGTATGGTCAACTGATCTTCAACAAAGGTGTCAAGAATACACAATAGAGAATGATAGTCTCCTCAACAAATGGCGTTGAGAAGATTGCACAGTCACATGCAAAAGAATGAAACTTGACCACTGTCTTACACCATGCACAAAAATCAACTCAATGATAAAAGACTTAAACATTAGATCTGAAACTAGAGAACTCCTAAATGAAAACATAGGGGGAAAGCTCCATGATGCTGGTCTTGGCAATGATTTCTTGGATGACATGAAAAACAACAAAACCAAAAATAGATGAGTGGAATTACATCAAACCAAAAATCTTCTGCACAGCAAAATCAACAATCAATAGAGTGAAAAGGCAATCTACAGAATGGGAGAAAATATTTGCCAGCCATATATCTGATAAGGGGTTAATCTCCAATATATATATAAGGAACTTCCACAACTGAATAGCAAAATAACACAAAACAACAACAACAACAAAAAACCTAATAACCTGGTTAAAACTGGGCAAAGGACTTGAACAAAAATTTCTTAAAAAAAAAAAAAAAAAAAAAAAAAAAACAGGGGCGCCTGGGTGGCTTAGTGGGTTGGGACCTCTGCCTTTGGCTCAGGTCATGCTCCCAGAGTGCTGGATCGAGCCCCGAATCGGGAGTCTCTGCTCAGCAGGGTGCCTGCTTCCTCCTCTCTCTCTGCCTGCCTCTCTGCCTACTTGTGATCTCTGTCTGTCAAATAAATAAATAAAATCTTAAAAAAAAACATAAAAAACAAAAAACACAACACACATAAATGGCCAAAAGGTTATATGAAAAGATGCTCAACATCACTAATCATCAGGGAGATGCAATCAAAACCACAATGAAATATCACCTCAGCTATTAAGATGGCCACTGCTATGAGCTAAACATTTGTGTGCCTCCTCCCATTTGTATGTTGAATCTTTATTGTGATGCAATCTGAGGGCAGAGCCTTTGGGAAGTAATTAGGTTTGGATGAGGTCATGGAAGTGGAGCCCCCATGATAGAGCTGGTGCCCTTGTAGAAGGATAAAGAGGGCAGAGATCTCTCTCTCTATGCCTAGTGAGGATGCAATGACCCGTCAACCTTCTGTGAATCAGGAAGGGGGCTCTCACCTGAGACCAAATCTGTCATTGCCTTGATCTTGGACTTTTTAAGCCTTCAGAACTGTGAGAAATAAATGTTTATTGTTTAAGCCACACAGTTTGTGGTATTTTTGTTATAGCAGCCTAAACTGACAATAGGAATTATCAACAACAACAACAACAACAGAAAATAACAAGTGTTGGTGAGGATATGGAGAAATTGGAACCCTTATGCAACTGTTGGTGGGAATGCAAAATGGTGCAGCTGCTATGGAAAACAACATGGAGATTCCTCACAAAATTAAAAATAGAAATACCATATGATCCAGCCCACCCACTTCTGAGTACATATCCAAAAGAACTGAAATCAGTATCTTGAAGGAGTATCTGCACTCCCATATTTATTGCGGCATTATTCACAATAGACAAGAGGTGGAAACAACCCAATGAACATTTATTTGTTCCCTGACAGATAAATGCATATGGAAAATGTAGTATATATGCATGATGGAATATTAACCATAAAAAAGAAAGAAATCCCATCATATGCTACTATAGGGATGAATATTGAAGACATTATGCTAAGTAAAATAAGCCAGTCACAGAAGGACAAATATTGCATGATTCTATGTATATGGGTTATGTAAAATAGTCAAATTCATAGAAGCAGAAAGTAGAATGGTGGTTGCCAGAGACTGGGAAGGGGAAACTGGGAGTTGCTATTAAATGGGTATAAAGTTTCAGTCATGCAAAATGAAACAGTTCTAGAGAACTGCTCTTCACCATTCTGTCTATAGTTAAGAATACTATACATTCCACTTAAAAATTTGTTAAGAGGGCAGATGCCATCCTATGTTTTTACCACAGGAACAATAATTTTTAAAAGCCTACTTTAATTTCCAGGCATATCAATATCCCCAGCAAAAAAAGAAACCTACACAGGGAAAAAAAAAAAGAAAGAAAGAAAGAAAGAAAGAAAGAAAGAAAGAAAGAAAGAAAGAAAGAAAGAAAGAAAGAAAGAAAGAAA